CAGAGTACCATACTCTCTTGACTGAAAGAATCACAGAGGCCACTCAAAGGAGAAAGGACATAGACCCCGCTACCTGATGGAGAATGCCAGTGTTGACCTTGTAAGAAGAGCCATGTGTGATGGATTATATTGTGGTGGCAATCTTTGGAAAATAAAATCTACCACATACATCATTCCATGAGTTTTGACAAATGTGTACACCTTTGCAGCACTTAAGTCCTATCAAGTTATAGAACCTATACCCATTCCTAGTCAGTTCCTGTCGCCACATCACTTCTCCAAATCAAACATTGTTCTGATCACTTTTCATCCTAGATTAGTTTACCTTGCACTAGAATTTATATTAAGTTTCTTTTACTCAGCATAATATTTTTGAAATTCATCCGTGTTACTGCATGTATCAGTTGTTTGTAACTTCATTAAACTATTTTCAGTTCCTAGCTGTTAGGAATAAAGCTAAAATGAACAATTATTTGAAAGTCTGTGTGGATATATATGATATCTTTTCTCTTGGATAAGTGCCTAAGATTGTGATTTTTGGGTTATAGGGTACTTATAATACCAGATCTTTTCTCCAAATTGGTTTGTTTTGTTTTACACTCCTACCAACAGTATATGAGATTTCCAGGGAGGAACAGAGGAGGAGGAGGAAGGAGGGGGAATGAATCTCAAGCAGACTGTGCTGAGCACAGAACCCAGTGCAGGGTTTGATCCCATGACCCCAAGATCATGACCTGAGCTGAAACCAAGAGTCTGATGTTTAACCAACTGAGCCACCCAGGTCCCCCATTTTAGCTTTTTGTTTCTGATGAGAAGTCTATGGTTATACCCATCTTCCTTCCCCTGTACTTAAGGTCTTTTCTCTCTGGCCCCCTTTTAAGATATTCTCTTTATCACTGGTTTGTGATTATCCTGCTTAGGATTTGTTCAGTTTTTCTGTTTTTGTTTTTTATTTGTCTTTTTGATCTGTGCATTTATGGTTTCATCAAATTGAAATAAGTGTCAGCCATTATTTCTTCTATGTATTTTTTAAATCACTTCCCTTCCTCTTACATAGTCTCTTTTTCCTGGGACTCCGGTTACATATGTGTTAGACCATTTGATCTTGTCTTCAGGTCATTAACATTATTTTTAGTCTTTTTGTCTCTCTGTGCTTCAGTTTGCTTTGTTTTCTGTTTCACTGTTCCTTTTTTTCTTCCTATAGTGTCAAATACTTTCAGATATCTTAGTTTGTATTTCTAAAACTTCCATTTGATTTGTGTTTTCAATTTTACATAGCCTTTGAATTTTTTAGCATATTTATAATAGTATTTGAAAGCCCTTATCTACTGGTTCCATCAGTTTCTTCATTTCAGGGTCCATTGATTGGTTTTTTCTCTTGGTTCTGGGTCATATTTCCTTGTTTGCCTATTTAGTAATTTCTTACTGGATGCTGCACATAGTAATAGTCTGTTGTTGAGTGACTAGATTTTGTTGTTTTTTTGAGTATTAGACTTCGTTTTGGCAGCCAGCTAAGTAACTTGCTGGTCACTTTGATCCCTCAAGGTTATATTAGGGTGTGTCTGCAGAAGTCTTTATTTAAGGCTAGTAGTTACTGTAAAGGCATGGCCCTTTAGTTCTCTACAAAATATCCCTAGTGTCGGTATATTCTCTCCAGTCTGGTTCGGGGGAGTTTAGGGATTACCCAGTCCTGTATGAGCACTGTATGAGTTCTCTCATGGATCACATTCTCTGTTACCCAGATCTGAAAACAGCTGTTTCATATGTTGTCTTTTTTTTTTGGACCAGAAGCCACTGTTAACATACTTTTGGGTCTTTCTCTGGGCTTACCTTGTGTTCCACTTACTGTTTATCTAATGCTCATACCTTACCTTGAAATAAACTTTTGATTGAAGTGTAATATACATACAGAAGAGTGCACATAAAATGTACACATAGCTTGTTGAACTTTCACACACTGAGCACATTTAGCCAGCAGTCAGATCAAGAAGTAACAGCAGCAGCAACTCTGAAGCCCCTTATACTCTTTGTTACTACCTCTCTTCCCTTAAGAGTAACCACTATCCTGACTTCTAATAGCATAGGTTAGATTTTACTATTTTTATGCTTTATATAACTAGAATCCATCATATTTAGTTGTGTCTGGCTTCTCTCACTTAACATATTTATGATATTCATCCACATTGTTGGTTGTAGTTGTTGATAGTTTATGGTAGTTGCTGTATAGTATTCCACATTAGGAATACTCCATAATTTATGCATTTTGCTGTTGATGGACAGATAATTTAGTTCCTTTCGGTTTGGGACTACTTAGAATATTGCTGTTCTAAACATTCCACTAAATATATACTCATTTGTTTGATGTATATTTAGAAGTGGAAGTTTCAAGTCCTAGAGTATGCACGCATTTAGTTTTAGTAAATACTGTCAGGTTTTTGAAAGTTGTACTGATTTTAATTATACTATTTAATATTCTATGGTTTAATCCCTACTAGAACAAGTTTCTTGAGAAAAAGAGACATTATTCTTCCATTAGAAGGTGAAATTTTCTTATTTTAGTATGCTTGGTCTTCAAAACTTTTGTTAAATTGGCATTGGATTAAATTTGTGTTAATTGGGAAAAAATGATACCCTTGTTTATACATGAATTCCATTTGGAACTAGCTCAAAATCCTTTGTCAGGATCCTGATTTTTTTTTTTTGTAAAGGGGAGGTGTGGTGTCAAGAGAACATAGTCTCCTCCATTACTATGAGAATAAAAAATATGGATAAAATGAGCCGTACCATGAACCAGTTTACAACTAGAAGCACTGATAAATGTATACAGATAGCTATAATATAAGGCAGAAAATAATAAATATAGGGTAGAAATTAATAAGTATTGTATTAATAGCATATAATAAGACCCAAAAGACAGTGGTTATTTACAGAATAGCTTAGAGAACCCTGTGAGATATAGCCTTTAGAATGAATAGAGTTTTTAATAAGGTATGGTAGATTGTTGTTGGATGGAGTTTAGTTAGCAAAGGATAGGGAAGTATTTCTGAGTGAAGTGACCTGAGAAACAAAACATTGAAGTCAGAAATACCGATGGCCAGTATGTAATAACCAGTGTTCCAGGGATGGGACTAGATCATCAAGTACCTGGTAATAATGTTATTAGTGGTCAGTAAGGCTTGTATGAATAGGTAGAAATCAGTGACAAGGACCACATATGATATGTAGAGTTTGAAATTTGTCTTGTAGGATTGGGGAAGCATAGACTATTTTGAGCTTGAAAGTGATATGACAAAATCAGGAAGATAATTCTAGTAGAGGAAGTAAAGGATACAGGCAAATGGGAAACCAGGTGAAGTAATGAGGGTCTGTACTATTTTGGTATGCATGGAAAAAAATAAGGAAGCAAGAGATACTTCAAAGGTAAAATTTATAGGATTTGATTATAAATCAGAAGTATGGTACAGTGGAATGAGGATGGCCTTTAGAATCAGACAACGTGTATTTGAATCATAACCTTTATTTACTAGTTAAATGACCTAAATAAAGCAAGTCACCTAAGAGAAAACTTTTCCTCTCTGTGACTATCTTCAAGCATTAGAAGTATAAAAATGAATGATCCAGATCTGGACTGGCAGGTTTGGGCTAAGTTGTGTATAGTTTGATCTGAAATGTTTGGAAGATTTACTTTTATTCTGAAAGCAACTAAAAGTCAATGAAGGAAGAATTGGGGGTTGTGTTGGAATATGGGAGATTTCTGAGATAGAATTGGTAGCACTGGGTGAACAATTTGCTGTACTGGGAAAGAGGAGGCCTTCTCTTTAGAGTATGACTAGGCGAATGGACTGATAGAGCCATTATTATCTCACCTGACATTTCTGGTTCTTACCGTTTGTCTTGCTTATCCTATATCATTCTAGATTTGGTATATTTCCCTGTGATTATGTGTTTCTAATCTTTTAAGGCAAGGTTTCTCAAATTGGGATCTGTGCATTGCCTAAAATGTATGTTAAAAATACAGATTCATGTACCCCCACTTTACTCACTGAATCACAGTCTTTGAAAGTAGAGATCAAGTATCCATTTTTTACAGATTTTCCCAGCTGATTCTATTATTGAATAGATTGAGACTTGGTCCTCTAAGGTCTTAAAACTTGGTTAATTAAAAATATATATATATGCTGAGCATTCATTTTTCTACCATCAACATGAAGGGCACTGGGTGGGTTTCTTAATCTTTGGGAGTTGGTTTTTTCGTATATGATGAAAGGAAATGGATTAAAAGATTGCAGTTCTTATTCCACTGAGAAATGCTCCGATCATATACAAATGAGTTAAGAATTTACAGTGATTATTTGGGTGCATGCTTCAAGCTCAGAATTTGGTTTTTGGTGAGTTTAGTTTCGATAGAAATGTTAAATATTTAAGAAATAGTCATTGCTACCATGTGTTGAGCTCCTGTTATGTGCCAGGAAGCATTGTCCTACGTAGTGTGAAAACATTTTCTCTAAAACTCAAAAGGACCTGACGCCTGAGACTCAGAGACAAAAGACCTGCCTGAGGCTGCTAATCTAGGAGGTAGTGGACAGGTGCCTGTAAAATGTACCTAACATAGCAGATGCTTAGCATAGAGAATTTAATTAAAAGCTAAATTGTTATAGGTACCTGAAGGAATTAGAGGCATATAGTCAAACAGTTTTCATACATTTTCAGCCCTTTTGGAAGGAGGGAAGAGTAAAGAAATGGCAAGCTCTAAGCCCTGTGGATGAATATGGGAAACGTGGCTCTGCCAGCTGAAAGCACTGAGGCAACAGGGCCTGTCTGACCACCCTTGCATGCATCCTGGCAACAGCATTAGGGACACTTGTCTGTTCATACGTTTTTGGATATTCATAAATATTAACAAAATGAATTTCCTTTTAATGAATATTGGGGGAAAATTTCTTTTGAGTTTATCCAGCTGTTTATGTGAAAAGAATTGAGTGAGGTGTTTTATATTTTAGGTTAAAAATCTGTAAGAACCTGATTTTAGAATTCACCAGCTCCTCAGAAGTTTGGCGAAATATGGTATGTTTCTGTTTTATTTTTTGGAATTCAAAATTGCATGTATATCTTAATGTCATAGTTAGAATATAACGACAAACATTTTCAGCAAATTTGGGTGCTTGCCATTTTTAAAGCATTGTGCAAGGTACTAAATCACTGTGCTGCCAGGTAGACTATGAAGGACATAAGTGGGATTCTGAAAGAAATCAGAAGAGATTAGTGTGTTATGAGAAGTGAAATCTTATGCATGAGAAGATTGGACGGGGCAGGTTTGGCTGTTAGACTGTATGAGTTAATAATAAGCTTCCATTTGTTGAGCTCTTACTATGTGCCAGGCACTATTCTGAGCTATTTATATGTTGGTTTGTTCATCCTCAGGACAGCCCTCTGAAAAAGACACTATTGTAGTCTTAATTCTCTCTATGAACGAAATGAGGCTCAGAATGGTTAAGGAACTTGCCCAAGAGTTGCCATCTAGTTAAGTGACCGAACAGGGACTTGAATCCAGATTGGCTCTGGAGCTTGTTTGTGCTCTGTTGAGCACTGGACCTCATAAAAAAGGAGACAGAGAGAACTTGACTCAGTAATTTTCAAAATACATGTAGCTCTTTAATGAATTAATTTACTTCAGTTGATTAGTTAAGAGGTATTTTAACTTGTGTTGACAGATTAGAAAGTTAGGCTTCTTTGGATCTTCTAAATCTATATACACATTTAGTATTATGAGAGAGAACCCAAGAGGGAACATGGTTCATTTCAGGGATGCCATTGTCTCTTCCTCATGTGGCCTCAGGAATGTCCTAGGCTCTTACTAGGAGACATGTAGCTATGATAGGGAAATTGTATTATTTCTTCCAGGGATTATAAGTCCCATTTATTGAAGTCACCTAAAGTTATTTATATATACTAAGGCCAACCCTCACCTTTATTTGAATTTGAAGCCCCAAGTTTATAGGCTGCGGCAGAGGTATGGGCCTAAGCACTGATATTTCAAGTCTTCTCTTCGTATTCTCAGATACCTTACTATTTTATATGGAGTTTTGGGTCCATGCTGGTAACCACCTTCTGTAGTTTTCTCTTGTCACTTCAAAGTGACTATCAAAGGGTATTTTATTTTATTTTATTTAGTTAACTATCAAGGGTATTTTTTTCTCCCTCTTAATTTTCTCATTTTTCCTTAGTTCACTTTTCAGATTTGGCCTGGATATACAGTTTGGTAGGGAAATAATTAAGGGGAAAAGTAGCTGCACAAAATGAGTTCTCGATACTGGGATATTTCAAATGTGTATCTTTGCCAGAATTATATAGGATTAGGATGTCTGATAAATTTGAACCGTGACAATCAAGAAAGTTCAGCTAAGGCCACGTAAGGGAATCAAAAGATACTAGGTTGAGGGAGGAGGACATATTTTTACATTTTGCCAATCTCTTCATGAAATTGAGTATTAGTGGATTTATGGCTGAGAAAGAATAGAAAAGATTTTCATGAAGTACCCAAGATGTTTGGGCTAATGTTAGATTACCTTACTTAAATATAGAATAAGTAGGACTAGACTCTGTGTGTGTGTGTGTGTGTGTGTGTGTAATTATCTGTTAAGCATTTGGCTACCTGGAAAACCCTATGACTGTTAGTCTCATTTAAACAATTGCCATATTCTAAATCTTTGCTCCATTACATATATATAACTTATGAAACTCTCCTGTAGTAAAACTAAGACCAAAAAATTCTAACCATGGATAGGAAATCAGTAGATTTGAGTTTTAATCTTCGCTTCTGCACTAATTCTAAAATCTTGGGCAAGTCAATTAATCACTCTAAGTCTGCTTAATTTGTTTTTTGTTTGTTTGTTTTCTTAAATTCTTGCTGTAGTATCTGCCCTGATTAGGTAGAGCCAGAGTTGTCATGAGACTCAAACAAGATACTGTTGACCAAAGTGCATTGTAAACTGTAACACTCCATAAAAGTACAAGAGATTATCACCACATTTTCTCAAGAGAAGAGATCATTTAAGGGGAAAAAATAATGCTGGAAAATAGTCCTTAAAAGCATTTCTATAATAATTACTCTTCTGATGAATGTTGCATTGACACCTAATTTGAAGCTTTGAAGATTATTTTTTGAACGATGGATTGGATTTATATATTAAAGTGTTCTAACTAAAGATTTGTTTAATTTGTTAGAGTTATTAAACCTACGCTCAGATCAAGTTAGCAGCTAGACTGGTGTGACAACCTGTTTTTAATCAGTGACTCAAAGCTGTGATCACCCTGATGTCACCGAATGGCCACAGCTTGTAAAAGGTAATTTTGAATGTTATTTTACAGCCTTTAAAAGGCTGTTATTGTAAAGTAAAATACGTGCTGTAAAAAATGAAGAAAATGTATAGTTGGCAGGAATAATGTGAATAGTTTAAGTGTTAATGCGCTTCTCCATTAAACATCCTGCCTAAAATATTTTATGCTTTCCCCCCCCAGATCTGTGTGTATAAATAAACAGGAAAGTATTTCTCAAAAATTTCAAGTTTTTAAATAAACATGTTATTACAAACATTATAAAAACTATGAAAAAATTCTCAATGTGCATTTTATGTGGTGAGAGTTATAACTAAAATGCTTCTCTAGAAATTTTTACAACTTTAATAAAACTGGTGTAATTTTCTTTCCTAAAGAGTTGCAGTGGAGGTAAAAGGAGTGACTTGCAGGCTGGACAAGCTGCACCCATTATTATTGGAAATGAGCCTCCATTTGAATGTTCTGGCTCATGCTGCAGTATTTAGATTAGGAGGCATTTTGTGATCACTTTTCTGTGATCCAAATCAAGACCCTAAAATAGAGACTTCTAATAGTTATTTTTTATTTTCTAATATTACTGTTCTACAATTTTTTTTCTGGTTTGTTATTGTGACAAATTTTAGGTTAACCTGAGTCAGTACTTTTTTTTTTTTCCTCTTTGGTTATATCCTGAATTTGGTAAAGTTACGAACATGTACTAGATCCTTACTTCCCAAAACTCGACAGTAATGAATAAAGAGATTCTTTAGTGGCCAAAGTAAAGCTTTGAAACAATTGGTAGATGTTAGATAATTTCATAGTTTTGGAAATGAATGCTAACTTTAGGATATTTTTTGGTAAGTTATTTACAGTATTACAGAAATATAAGCAGAATGACTAGAAATTTATTCAGACATGTACTATTACTTATAACTGCCAGAAAAGTGTTTCTGTTAGTTTTTTGTATATTCACTTTTCTTTTAAGTAAAAACAATTTCCATTTTGAGTAGAAAACAGCTTGGGCTAATAACCATGTTTATGAGACCCAGGATAGACCTGTTTTAGGGTAATACTCTTTCATTCCTTCCTTATTCTTTTGTCCTTCTGTTAGACTGAATTGGTTTAATTACTTGGTTTGACAAATAAATGTTTTTTGTAGCTCACTTGAATATATGTTAATATTAAATGGTAATCCACTATATTTATAATAATTTGGTGACAGTTTGATGCTAATGTTTACATATTCTCTTGTTTAGGGAACAGAAATTGGAAAACAGTGTAGTTACTTTTTGATGATGTATTTAACTTCTCTCCCATTTCTCAAAACTTTGTAGCAGTTATATATTGTGCTTCTAAGACTCAGATTTGTTTTCCTTCTGCTTGTGTCTTACCTTTTTGCAGTAGTATTTTAATTTCCTGTCATTGTGTCCTCATTTTTTTTCCCTCTCTCTTTCTCTTTCCCTGTTAATTTTGAAAGTTTTGCCGCCTGCGTGTTTGAAAGCTTCTAATCTGCCTCTCTTCCCTTAGTGCCAGCAGGTTTATTTTTTGTTTTGCAAGCCTGCTCTGCCTCCTTACAGTATGACATCTGATGCTGGAGGGTCGCACTTTCAAAAATGAGTCAGCTGGTACATGGGGTTATCATCAGTTTTTAGCTCTTCTGTCTGAGACATACAAACAAGTTTGGAAGCAATCTTGGGGTACTTACCCACAAGGCTGGTGGAGACCAGGTGTGTCACAAAGGTGATTTGCTTGCTCCCTGGGGGAGAGGGTGGAGTGAAATTTTTGCATTTGTGTCAGTGCCAAGTCACTGCCACCTCCAGCATGCCCCAATTTTTAGTTCTAATATAACTTTGTGCAAAATTGAAAATGTAAATATACTGCAAAGAGGATCTAAAATATTTGAGCTGCTGGAGTCTCTCTCTCTCTTTTTTTATTTTTTTTTTTGCATTCTTGTCCTTGGACTCTAAATGAACTGCAGTGAGGGGTAATTTTGAAAGTCTAATAAAGAAGTAAGATTTTTAAAAGCTAAGAAATGTGGAGAACAGTTCGTTTCTTTTTTTTCTTTTTCTTTTTTTTTTTGCTGGTGGCTCTAATTTTAAGATTCTTTTGTTAAAGTTGTTCACAATTAGAAGTCTCAAGTCAGTGATAAATTTACAGATCAGGTCATTGTAATGTCATTTGGAAAATTTAGTTTCTGATCTCTAAAAAAATTTTTGAGAATTTGAGTGTTAGCAATCAATATTATGTTGATTTAACTTAGTATACATTGACCAATGCTGTTTATAAAACTGAATAGGGTAACAGGAATTTATTTTTTTAACAGCATGGTAGGAATAGGCAAAATTCATTCATACCCCAAAATGAAAGTAAGACTTTTTAATGTCTTAGAATTTTGAATATTTCTATGCAAGATAGTAACAGTATATTAAAAAATAATAGAAAACAACTGGCAACTATTTATAACTGAAATCAGTTCGCAATTATCCGTAGTAACATTTTAATACCCCAGCTTGGTATACTTTTGATAGGTAATGCATTTTGCCAGTATATTTTCAGGGAAGGTTAATTTCATTGTTGAACCAAGATAATCGTGATTAGAATGGTAAATCTGACTTAAAGTGTCTCAAAATTCACTAAGGCTATTAGATTAAAATTTGAATTATCTAGAGCAGAAGTTAGCAAACTTTTTCTCAACGGGCCAGATAATAAATACTTTAGGCTTTGTGGGGCATATATCTCTGTCAGTTTCTCAGCTCTGCTCTTATAGTGTCAAAGCAGCCATGGACAATATACGTAAATGAATGAATTGTGGCTGTATTCTAATACTACAAAAATAGGTGCCTGACCCAGGCCTTAGTTTGTTGTCCCAGGAAATAGTTTGCTGACCCCTGATCTAAATATAGTTCGGGACTGTGAATACCAGTGAATACTTTTGATATTTTGGATAACCAGTAGTTGGCGGTAGAAAGTTTCGTAGTTGTATGTTTTTATTATAAATATTTAACTTTGTGAATAATTATGATTTATTATACATTTTACTCCTTTGTATGTTGGTATCTAAATAGTGTTTACAGTATCCTTTCCTTAAAAAAATGCACTGACTTTTTTATTAGTCCAGCTTTTATAATAAACGTGTTGAATGGCAATCTGATTTGATCACTTTTTTCTTCTGTTAAAATCTTTAGTTACTTTTAAAACTGTTACCGATTAAATCTTGTTTTCAAATTTGTCTACTAATATAACATGTCTGCCCATTTTTGGAATATGGAATGTTTTGCTTAACTTTCCTCAATTGCATTTTACAGATCACCAGGAGAACCTCAGTCTGACGACATCGAAGCTAGCCGAATGTAAGTGTAACTTGGTTGCGGCTGTGGTGTCTTTTAAGTTACCCTAGATTGCTTTAAAGGTATTAAATTATTTGAAAATTATTTCTAGTTATAAGAGAGTAATACATTAAAAAATGGGAGAGAGGAGTGTGCCTACTATTTTTCCTACCAAATAAATACCTCTGAACTTTGGTACCATGTCACTAGATACTTTTAGGTAGATAGTTGTATACTCCTGCATTATAATGTGTTTTTGGTTACCTGGCAGTTGTGTGGAAATAGAGAGGGGAAAGAGTTCAGGTTAACAATCATTTATTAAATACTCACTATTGAGCTGGTGATGTGTTGTGGATACAAAGATGCGTAATAATTAGTTCCTAACCCACAGAATTTTATAGTCTACTCGGTGTGAAAGAGAAACAAATCTTTAGTCATTGTGCTAGAAGGATACCCAGGATGCAACAGGAGCATAAAGGAGTACTGGGTTACCTGGGTATACAGTAGGAACCTAATCCATGTGGCAGGGAAGTAGGGGTGGCCAGGGTAGGCCAAATTAAATCTTGAAGTGTAACTGGGAGTTAGGTAGTGGAAAGCATCAGCAGGGTTGTTCTAGCAGAAGTATGGGTGAAGTTAAAAAGCGGCATAGTGAGCATAGGGAACAGGCAGTTGAGGATTTTTAGATCATAAACTGGCTGAAAGGCAGGAAAATGAAGGAGGTAAGACTTGAGAGAAAGGGCTAGAGCCTTGCATGGTATGTGAAAGACCTAGGCCTATCTCTTCGGTATTTGGGAGTCAATAAAGAATTTGCTGAGGAAGGAGTAGTAACCTTGTTAGACATAAAATTTTAATAGTTTTGGCAGGAGAGAAACAGAATTGAAGAGAAGTGTGTGGTGGTAGGGTGACCAGGGCTTCAGCAGTTCAGTGAATAAAAGCCTTTTTATTTATTTATTTTAAAGATTTATTTATTTATTTGTCAGAGAGAGAGACAGAACACAAGCAGGGGGAGAGGCAGGCAGAGGGAGAAGCAGGCTCCCCGCTGAGCAAGGAGCCCGATGTGGGACTCGATCCCAGGACCCTGGGATCATGACCTGAGCCAAAGGCAGCCACTTCACCGACTGAGCCACCCAGGCGTCCCTCAGTCAGTAAAAGCCTTAAAAAGGACAGTGACAGAATAGGAATTCAAGATAACGTTCTCTGGATATGTAAGAAAAATATTTGGAAAGTGAAACAGGTAAGACTTTAGTATTGGTTGTAAGAAATTAAGTTTAAGGTAATGGGAAGGTGGTAATTATTAAAGGAAGGTTTTTGAGGTAGTAAGGGTTGGAATGAAGAATATAGGTATAGGGATTGCTCTGGAGTAAGAGCAAAGAGCCCATCTTGTGAAACTAGAAGGAGGTAAAGATGGGTATGTGATGTTAACTGTGTTTGTAGGTGAGAATGGGGATGTCAAGGTCATTTTTACCTGAAGTATTTTCTCAGTAAATTCGTTTAGGTCTGCTACACCACTGTTTCTGTCTCCTTTGAGATGATACTAGATACTTCTTGAAAAGGAGGTTCAATTGTTAAGTTTGGAAACTGCAGAGTTAAGCAGGTTTCTTTACTGAAAACAGTGGAAATACACTTTAAAGTACTGATAAACATTGTGAATCTCCAAGAAGGGACTGTAAGATGTATTTTTCAAATTTATGTGTCTATGTAACTTTTTTTTTCTAAAAATTTTTTTGTGGTAAAATAACACGTAACAAAGTTGACCATCTTTATTATTTTTAACTGTGTAATTCAGTTGTGTTAATACTGTAGTGCAGCCATTGCCACCATCATCTCTACAACTCTTCATCTTGCAATACTGGAACTATTCCCCCTTCAACCTATCCTCTGGCAACCATCATTTTACTTTCTAGGTCTATGATTTTGACTGCTCTGTCCCATATAAATGGAATCATTTATAGTTGTCTTTTTGTGATGGGTTATTTCACTTAGCATAATGTCCTCAAGGTTCATCCACATTGTTGCATATGTCAGAATTTTCTTCCTTTTTATGGCTGAATATTCTAGTGTGTGTGTGTATGGCATTTTGTTTATCCTTTCACCCATCGATGGACACTTGGGTTTCTTTCATGTTTTTGCTATAATGAATAATGCTGCCATGAACATGGGTGTACAGGTATCTCTTTGAGACCCTGCTTTCATTTCTTTGGGTATATACCCAGAAGTGGGATTGCTGGATCATATGGTAATTGTTTAATTTTTTGAGGAACCTCCACACTGTTTTCCACAGTGACTGTACCATTTTACATTCCAACCAAGGGTTATAATTTTTCCACATTCTCGTCAGTACTTGTAATTATCTGTTTTTGATAGTTGCCATCCTGATGAAATGATTTTTTAATTGTAGCTTTGTGACCATGTAACTTTTTAAGAAATACCTTTTAATAGTATTTTGTGGAACACAGAGTTTGATTAGGGAACTTGAGGATACTATGGAAAACTTGGAAAGTGTCTGGGGGGAATGGGTGAAGAAGTAGACCAAATATTATTGAGTCTCATGCTACTGAGTGGCCAGTTGAAGTTAGGAAACTTATCATAGTTGGAGTTTAAAGACTTTTATCTAATAGCCAGAAAAGAGGCGTGGTATTTCAGGGTTGGGTGTTAAGCAGAGCAGATAGGACAGAACTACTAATGGCATGGGCATAGGTTGTTAACACTGAAGTAGTTGAGTTTATATGTCATTGGTGATGGCCATAATTGGATAGGTTGTGGGGCCAGGTAGAAGTGTTGGCTTGGTTATAAAAGCCTGATAGGTCAAAGAGATAGTTCAGTGTAAATGAAATTTTTAGAAGGATATAGATGATGATGATCAAGGGTTGGGTGTTTAATATGCTTACGGTGGTGATTGGCTGATGTAGAGAGGAGGTGAAGCTTTTTGAAGAAAAGTAAGTATTTTGGGTGAGAGGGGGCTAAAGTGTTGGGATAGATCATGAATACAGACATTGAAGTTGGCTTGCTGGTGATGGAACTGGGGGCAAAATGAAGCCTTTAGTATAATGGGTATAATTTACCAGAAGAGAGGGGAAACGTATTGCGGTAGATAACATGACTTTCAAAGTGTAAGTTGTATTTGTGTTATGTTTTATTTTGTTTAGATGGACGTTGTTTTAAATACAAGGAATTAGAAGAGTAATAGTGGACTTAAGGGTTTTAGTTGTCTATGAAAAAGTTCACAGAAAAGGGATATACAAGATAAGTAGTGTCTTTTGGGGTAATCCAGGCTTTAGTGAAAGCTAAGAGGTTGAGGAACCATTATATAAAGCATTTGAAGATTAGGGACAACCTGTATTTTAAAAGTTTTTGTAGAGATCTTAGAGTTAGATTAGTGGAACAATTCAATAGTAAAGAATAGAAAAGGGTAGGTGAAGCTTGGTCCTTTGTAGTAAAAATCAAGGATGGCAGTAATGTGAGGCATGATAGGATATTTGTCACAAGATTCCAGATGAAGCTCTGGTATTAAGTTCTGGTTGAGTTCAGCAAACACACTGTTTAACTTGACCATGTTAAGGTAGAATAGCAGGAAATTAGACCTACCACAATGTCTCGATAATGGTGTGTAAGGTTCCAGACATAATCACTGTAATGTAGCTCTAAGTCTTCATGTCTGCCCCCATTTCTCAAATTCCTATACCTTTGGAAACCATACCAGGCAGTAGTTTAGTAAGGTGAATAGGTCAACGTTTGTTCTACCATAATTTTGTGAGTCTTGATTTACAGAATAGATAATGAAGGATTCTTGGTTTTATCTAAGAATTAGCTAGGGTCTTTGATTAATGGCCGCATCTTACATTTATTGAAGTATGATTTTTTTGGGCACTTGCAGGCACATTTGCATTTGGCATCTTTTAACTAGGGAACATCTTGGGTCCATTTTAAATGGTAATCATATAAAATTAAAGAATATACCCGTTTGTTTTTAGGAATTCTTAGTGTTGTCTGTTCTCTAGGGTGCAGAAAAACATAGTAAACATTTTTAACATTTGCATGCCATTCTATGGTTTAGCCTAGAAATAGAACTAACACAATAACCCAGATCTTTTTATCCAATTGTATGTATATTCTCTCTCTGTTTTGTTTAAACTTATATATTAGTCGCATCTTTTTGCACATATTAATTTAGACTTTAATTTTTTTAATGATTTCAAAGCAGTTTCTAATAACTTCAGATTTCTCATCTTTTGGTATTTACTCTCCACTCCTATCTTTAATGCTTAGGTTGTTTTCAGGTGTATAACCAAGACAGTAAATGGAACAAGAGTAAACGTATCAAGTGATTTATGGTTCCATATATATAGCAAGGCTATTTAAATAAATACTTAGTTTTCTGTAAATGTTGGTATGACCTAAGACCCAGGTCTCAGGCCCATCATTATCTGTTTTCTCTAGGTAAAAGCTTTATCAACTCTCATATTTCTATCTCCAACTCCAACTTACCCTCTGAATTGTAGACTCATCTATCCAATAATTGAATGTCTGATTCTCAAACTTAACAAGTCCAAAATAGCTCTTGATTTTCATCCTCTCAAATCTACTTGTCTTGTTATCTTTTTGCCATCTCAGTTGGTAGCAACTCTTTTTTTTCTTCCAGTTTATCCACAAAACTTTGGAAGCATCTTTGATTTCTGTTTGTCTCACTCAAATTATCAGCAAATCATCTTGGCTCCACCTTTAAAATATCATAATTCAACTACTTGTCTTTTTACACTGTTTCCACCTCTTTCACTCTTGATTAAAGCCATCAGCTTTTGCCAAAAGAATGAAATTGTTTCCCAGTAGTCTTGCTGCTTCCATACTTGCCCCTTTCAGTGCATTTTCTATGTAGCAGCCAGAGTGATTTTTTTTAAAGATTTATTGATTTATTGTAGAGAAAGAGAGCACGAGTGGGAGAAGCAGAGGGAGAGAGAATCTGAAGCTGACTCCATGCTGAGCGTGGGAGCCTGACACGGCTCGATCCCCCAACCCTGAGATCATGA